CTTTCCCTTCTGGTCCACACCTTACCCCCAGCGTGCTCCTTCTTACTCCTTGCCTGATTATTGGTTGTAACCAACAGCGAAGACTCTTAGAACAGAGTTTCTCAACCTTGGACTATGGGCATTTGGCGATGGACAGTTCCTTGCTGCGGGGGATGTCCTGGGCATTGTAGGATGTTTAGCAGCATCCCTGGCCTATACATAGTAGATGAGGGTAGCACCCAGTCCAGCCCCCCTCGGTTGCAACAACCAAAAAGGTCTCTACACATTGCCAGATGTCTTCTGGGCAGCGAAATTGCCCCCATTTGAGAACCTGTGCCTTAGGGTGATCCTTAGGTGAGCTGAGTGATGACTTTAGAGGAGGGAGGAAAGTTTTGTGACTACGTTCTCATCAGCAGAAAGCCCTCAAGAAAAGGAGCCAGGTAAGACGAGGACCACAGCAATCATCTTCGTATTCTCACTCCTGGTTCTAGGGGTTGACTTAGGTCAGCAAGGCAGTTCTCAGCCAGGGTCTTTCAGGAGGTTCCAGTCAGTGGTGCTTGGGGCTGGAATCATCTGAAGGTCACTCCCTCACATGTCTGCCTCCAGCTGGGACTCTGCAGGCATCTCTCTCCATCTCTGTGCGTGTCTCCAGCAGGGAGACTTCAGGGTGGCCCGACTTCTTACATGGCAGCTTAGGACTTTTAATGATACATTCTCAAGAGAGAGGGGATGATAATAATAATAATAATAATAATTATTATTATTTTTTTTTTTTTGCGGTACGCGGGCCTCTCACTGTTGTGGCCTCTCCCGTTGCGGAGCACAGGCTCCGGACGCGCAGGCTCAGCGACCGTGGCTCACGGGCCCAGCCGCTCCGCGGCATGTGGGATCTTCCCAGACTGGGGCACGAACCCGTGTCCCCTGCATTGGCAGGTGGACTCTCAACCACTGCGCCACCAGGGAAGCCCGGGATAATTATTTTTTGAGGGTAGGAAATGTCTGCCAGCTCTTTATGGTTGTTTTCTTTTCAATATATTTTATTATAAAATAGAAAATACAGAAAGGTGTATTAAAGTGTGTGTAGTTTGATGACTAGTTGTAAAGTAAGTGCTCAAGAAATCACCACCTAGTTAAAAAAGAAAAACAAAACAGAATGTTACCATTCTGAGCCCCAAATTCCCCTCAATCGCAAATCCTTTCCTCCCTGGAGAGGGGACCACTATCCTGACTGTCATAGTAATCATGCCCGTGCGTTCCTTTGTGGGCCTGTGCCTGCATTCTTAAACAATATAGCCTGGTTTTGCCTGCTTTTGCCCTTTGTTTCAATATGGTATGTGTTCATTTGACTTGGTTTTTTTTGCTCAGTGTTTGTAACATCCATGTTGTTAAGTATCTTTGTGCTTTTATTCTTCATGAGTGTATAGTGTCCCATTATAGAAACCTGAGTATATGAAATATCACAATTTACTTATTTATCCTTGATAGACATTAGGCTATGTCTAGTATTTGGAATTTACAAACAATACTGCTATAGATATTCTTGTTTATGTATTTTGCTCCACATAAGCATGCATTATTTCTGGGGTACATACATAGGACCGGAATTAGTGGTTATAGGAAATATGCAAACTCAGTTTGTCCAGAAAGTGACATTGTGTTTTCCCGAGAGGTGGTGCCTGTTTACTTTCACACCAGCACTGCAGGACCTCATGTCCTTATTCTTCCCAATTCTTGTTATTTCAGCCTTTTAAATGAATGGGTGTATAGTGATGTTTCACCATAGTTTTAAATTGTATAGTCAAGACTACTTGTAAGACTGAGTGGTTTTTCAAATGTTTACTGGCCATTTGGGAATAATCTTCTATGACGTGCTTGTCCACATCTTTCTAAGATTTCGATTTTCTTGTGTAGTTTTTCAAATTTATTGGCATAAAGAAGTTCATAGTATTTTCTTGCCAATTCTTCTTAGTGTTTGTGTAATCTAATAATATATCCTTTAAAAATATTTGCTATTTACTGTTATTCCTTCTTTTTCTTTTCTTGAACAATCTAACTAGAGGCTTCTTAGTTTTACTAACTTTATCAAAGAGCCAGCCAGTGTTCGGTTTTGCTAATCTCCTACATACTATATGTTTCTTTTCTATTTTATTAATTTCTGTTCTGTTTGCTTAATTTTGTTAATTTCTGTTCTGTTTGCTTCCTTTCTCCTTTCTTTGGATTTATTCTGCATTCTTTTTCTAACTTTTTGAGATAAATAGTTGATTTTTTAAAATATTTCTTCCTTTCTAACATATGCATTGAAGATCGTGTCTCCCTCCTAAATACTGCTTTAGCTGCATTCCACAAGTGTTGGTATGTAGCATTTTTGGTATCATTCAGTTAAAATATTTGCTTTCATTCATGGGTTATTAAGATAAATAAATTTTCAAACATATGGGCGTTTTTTAAATAATTGATTTCTGACTTAATTGCATTGAAGTTAGAGAAACATTCTAATTTCAGTCTATTGAAATTTATTAAGACTTGCTTCATAGTCCATTACAAAATTTTTTGGTAGATGTTCTGTATGTGTTTGGAAAGAATAGGTATTTTGCAATTCTTAGGTGCAGTATTCAGTTATGTGTCTGTTAGGTTAAACTTATTAGTTATCTTGTTCAAATCTTTTCTATCTTTATTAATTTTTGTCTGTTTGTCCTAGAAGTTACTAAGAGAAGTGTTTCTAAATCTCCTTTAAGGCTATTATGAATTTGTCTATTCTTCTGTAGTTCTGTAGTTTTTGTTTTATATATTTTGAAGCCATATTATTAGGTGCATGCAAACTTAAAATTATTATGCCATTTTATGAAATTGACCTTTTTCTCATTGTAAAGTGACCTTTATTTTCTAGTAATGTTTTTGTCTTAAGATCTGTTTCATCCCAGCCTAATATAATCATACCTGCTTGCTTCCTGATACATCTTCTCTCATTCTTTTCCTTTCAGCGTCTCTCTGTCCTTATGTTTAGATCTGTGTCAAGTAAATATCATATAGTATTAAAAAAAATCTAATTTGACTTTTCCCTGGAACATATACTCCATTTACATTTACTGTAATTGTTAGTATATTTAGATTCATTCCACCATCTTCTTTCAAGCTTTGTTGTACATATTTTCTCTTTTCCCACTTCTACTTTCTTGTCTTTCTTTTCTATTGGCTAACTTTTTTCTGCATTTTTTTTTTTCTCTGTGTAAGGCTGGTAGCAAAAGCTGAACTTAAAAAGAAATTATCTTTTCTTTAAGTAAAATACAGGCCATAGCCTACTGAACTCCATTTAGTCCTCTCATGATATATATGTAACTTTTACCTGATATATATATATATTTTTGATATTTTAAAGTCTGTCTGGTTTCTCTCTCTTTTTAACTCCCTTTTGTTATGAAATGATAAAAGAATACTCATTATTACTACTATAATATGATGTTCATTTGCCTTTCCCTCATATTTACTACTTTTCTTGCTTTTCTTTCTTTCTTTCTTCTTACTCCTTCCATCTGGGTTCACTTATTTCTGACTGACATTCATCCTTCATAGTTTTCCTTAGCTTTGGGTAGCTGGTGGCAAACTCTTTGTCTGATAAAGTCATTGTTTCTTTTTTTTTTCCCCAAATATTTATTTATTTTATTTGGCTGCATTGGGTCTTTGTTGTGGCATACGGGACCATTTAGTTGCAGCATGCGGGACCTAGTTCCCTGACCCTGGATTGAACCGAGGCCCCCTATATTGGGAGCACAGAGTCTTAACCACTGGACCACCAGGGAAGTCCCAAAGTCATTGTTTCTTCAGGGAGATTTTTTTTTTCCTGAGTGTTGAATTCTAGGTTGGCAGTTAGTTTTGTTGTTGTTTAGTACTGTGAAGATACTATTTCATTATCTTATGTTCTGGGTTGTTGCTATTGAGAAGTTCACTGATAGTTGGTTTTTCCTGTGAAGATAATCTGTCTCTCTGTTCCTTGTTTCCTTTTAAGACTTTTCTTGGGGTGGAGGGGGGAGGGCCTTTGGTTTCTATAGACTCACTGTGTCGTAACTAAATATGAACTTCTTTATGTTTATTCTGCTGAGGATTTTGTGTACTTTTTGAATCAGTGGATTGTCCCTTTTTCTTCAACTTTGCAAAATTCTCAACCCTCATCTCTGCTTATCTTCTCTCTCCCCTGCTCTGTCTCCTTTTAGCAGCTCAGATCCCGTGTATATCAAACTTTCTCACTGTATTTTCTATACTTCTTACTGTCTTTCTGTATATTTCACCTTTTTCTCTCTCAGTGTTATCTTCTGGTTAATTTTGCTCTGTTTCTGTCTTCTGTGTTCAGTCTGGTGCCAAATACATCCACAATGTTTTAAATTTTGGTTGTTTTTCATGTGTAGAAGTTATGTTGTCACTAGAAATTCTGCTTGTCTGTTTTATTCAATCTACTGTATTGCTTTTTATAATTTCCTCTTCCTTATAGTTATTTCCCAGTTTGTGCTTTGTTTATTCACATTTGTTAGATGTAGTTATTTTACACTGTCTCATAATTTCAGTGTCAGAAGACTGTGATGTGGTGTCTGTTATATCTTGCTCATACCCACTTCGTCTTGTTTTCTTGCACACCTTGTTAACGTTTGCTGCGTGTTGGTCATGGGACTTGAAATCTATTTGTGGGCATTCCCTCCAGCCTAGTGTGGATGTTCCCTCCTCCAAGAGGCTTCATCTTTGTGGGGGCCCTGCCAGTCAGGGCTACCTGAGACCATGGTCATTTGTACCCAGTGTGAAAATTCCTGAGA